TATAATATAATATAATATAATATAATATAATATAATATAATATAATATAATATAATATAATATAATATAATATAATATAATATAATATAATATAATATAATATAATATAATATAATATAATATAATATAATATAATATAATATAATATAATATAATATAATATAATATAATATAATATAATATAATATAATATAATCATTAACGTTTTAAATATTATAGACGTTTTAAATATTTGTGAAAACTGTTTTGCTTTATTCAAAAGACTATGGGCCAGTTTTACTAACAGCTTGCACCAGTGCAAATTGTCTTTTGGTATTAAAATAGTACTGTCAGTATTTACCAAAGACAAGCTGAGAAGAATTAGTGCTGAAAAGTCGTGGACACAGTTATTTTGTGCCTGACCTTATTGAATATGCATTTGTAGGAGTTTCCCTTTCAGACGGTAAATTTATCGGAGGAGAGTATTAATATGAATTAGTTTTTATCAAATTACTAGTATTTGCGCCATTATTTAACGCCCACAAATGCATGTCTTAAACTAATTTGTGCCTGTGTTGTAAGCAGATCACCCGCACCTGATGAGCATCGGCTCTGCTTACTTGTGACTACGCTAATTTGCGCTGTGCTTGGTATATTGCGCTGTTCGATATGTAAATGAGATGTTGCGTCTGTGTTCTTTAATTTGTTTGTTGTCAGTAAATCACCTGCAGAAATTTCCACGCCCATCGGCGCTGTTTTGGAATTGCTCTCTCACGCTAATTTGTCCTGTTTAGTAAATCTGGCCCTATATATGTGTTTTTAAAACTCTCTGCCATTTTTCACTTGAGAAAGCATGGAATCTGTCCAATGTTTTCTGCTTGTTGTTTGCACAAACTGAAGCTGCAGCAGCATCTGTGTATCTCTCTGTTACCTGCATTAAAAAGTGAATACACAGGCATGCTGGCTCTCACACTGAGACGGTTATTCACATTCTGTCTGTTGGCAGGTTCCACACTGAGCGCCACAGGCTTTTATAGGGGATGTAAATAAAAGCCCCACACCAGGCTCTTCACCGGAACATTGTCTGCAGTTCTTGAAAGGGGTTTACACAAATTTAAAGCTTACAGCAGGTGAGCAACAGACAAACTTTTCACCAAGAAGACATAGGCGGTGTTCTCTAACCTTGTAACGGCACTAAAAACAAGTTTTAAAGACTTCACATTCATTCACATTATCAAAGCCTGGAAGTTTGGCAAGCCAGCAGATGCTTAAATGGACCTTAAGCCTGTTCAGGCAGAATAAATTATATTTTAGTTATCGACAACCCTGTAACGAATCGGTCCTCCTTCAGACACTGACTCTTTGGTGCATGAGTTATAGAGATATATTTGTTCTTGCCAAGGGAAAATCCATGGCAGTGGAGACATTCAAGGGAAGGTAATGGTGCAGAGCCTTCTGAGAACAATTAACGATCAATCCATCAAGGAGCTCATTTAGATGGAAGTGTGAAACCAGACCTTCTCCTTCAAATCCTGCTAAATGTATGGACTGTGAAGCACACTAATGATGCCTCTCTCTTTTTTTGGCGCTATGCTTCAATACTGATGATGATGCATTTTCATTGTCATTTGTTCTAGAAAATGTTCTTAAGAATTAATTTCCTGTACTCCAAACAAAAACTTTTTTTTTATGTTTTTGAAGGAACTCATTCACCAAGGCTGCATTTATTTGATCAAAAATACAGTAAAAACTGTAATATTATGAAATATTATTACAATTTGAAAAATAAAAAAAACGATTTTCTATTGAAATATATTTTTCAACATATTTTAATTTATTCCTGTGATGGCAAAGCTGAATTTTCAGCAACCATTACTTTAGTCTTCAGTGTCACATAATCCTTCAGAAATCATTTTAATGACAATTTGCTGCTCAAGAAACATTTCTTAATATTACAGATGTTGAAAACAGTTATGCTGTTTAATATATTTGTAGAACTCTGACAGATTTTTTTTCCCAACATGGACAGTTCACAACTGTTTTGAGAAAGAACTCAGTCATTTTTATTTACAATAATATTTTTGTATATATAATTAATGTTTAATATAACAATAGGGATACAGAAAGAAAGTGAGTCATATTTGACTCATCTCAATATGCTGTCTCAAATTAGCCAAACCAGCACAAAATAAATAAGCTTTTATTAGGCTCCTGATATGATTGCAGTCTTCATTGCATGTGGGTCTACATGATGATTTTAAACAACATTCAAAAGATATATTTATTTTCTGTATATATAAAGCTATTAATGACGGTAAAATATTAAGTGCATCTTTAGGTAACTAACGCTTATCTTTAAGAAATGTTGGGGTTTTATGATCATAATTTTATTCACGATATATAATTAACACAGGTCTCCTAATAGTCAATGAGGTAAAATCTCAAAGATATAGGCTAACAGTCAAAAAAAAAAGTTATACCTGCTCTCCCTTGTTTTGATGTTATATGACAATAAAAGGCACACAAACAAAAAATATATCTGCCATGAAATCACTAAGCTAATTAATCCAAATTAGATTAATTCCTAATTTAGGACAGAATCATTCATTAAAACACATTGCGTAAATATGGCCTGCCACGGATCATTAAAACCATGCTGATGTCTAGCTCAAGCTGTGCAGCTCTGGAGGCTGGTTAACGTGAACATGCTGCGAGAATCAGCTCTACTCACTTTGGATGTCTGATGTCAGGAAGGGAGCGGTCCAGAGCGATATTGTTGCTGACATAGATGTTGAAGCCATTCTCTTTGTATACTGAGTCATCACACTCGTCCTCTGTGAGCGGATACGGTTTCCCATGCTCCCCTTTTCCTGAAACAGATGCGGTCAGACATCAGCAACCATGCTGAGCACAGCCAAGCATGTGTGTACTAACAATGAACATGCACCACTCCAAAGATAGAAAGCACCGCTGTGAAAACTGACAATTTATTTCATTATTATTTTATGACCGAATAGCTGAAACAACTTAACCAACGAGCCTGGCCTTTCCCTGAATGCTGACCAGACACACTCCAGTAAGAAGGCTCAACATGCTGACCGAGTTGCTGGCTCTGCAGTGTATATTATGGTCTCAGCCGCTTCCCACTCTGTCTGGTCTGTCACAGTTGATGGAAATCCTACTTATCATTACTTAATGGAATATAAAAAAAAAAAAATCAAATTCTGTCATCTACTCACCCTCATGTAATTCTAATCCTTATGCCTTCTTCCATGGAGTTATTCTGCATTATGTGCTGCTCTTTTCCATACAGCAAAAGTGTATTGTAACTATAGCCATATTGCTGCAATATCGTAATGCAATGTATTTTTCAAATACTGTCATACCGATGCTATTCAGTAGATAAGAAGTGCGCTATATAGAATGCATTGACAGGGAAACTCTATTAACTATATACTCTTCTTACTAATCGTTGTAATTTAACATTAACCCACACAACTAAATGTTTTTTGACATAGTATGAAATACCACGTATAGCCATATGATTTCTGCAGTGCACAAAATGCGGACAAAATCTCACAATCTAGTCATTTTACTTTATAAAGTGGAATGTCACAGGAATTTGCCATTTTTGGACAAATAAATCAAGAATAGTACAGTACAATAAATCAAATCCGGATATGAAATCATGTATGCAAATTTTAAAGTGCAAAAGACCATGTAAACACTATTGTCGAGTTTTTCTTTTGCTTATTGACCAAATGGGAATGTAGGGGGAAAAAAATGAGGAAAAATATATTTGATGTAGTCTCCTGTTCACCACTGTTTACCCAACTACGATGAGTTCTGAAGCATGTGTGATGCTCGTGGTGTTTGAGAGTCACTTGACTAGCATTTCACCATTCATTAGATAGAAACTATCATTATATCCAAATAATTTATCTCCATAAAAAAGACTGTAAAAAAGGTCATATCATATACACAGAAACCCAAAGGTCTTCACGACAACCTGTCAAAATAAAAGTTCCATTTAACTTGAAGAAATTATAATAGAAATAAATTACTACTGAACAGCAGGATGTATTTTTTTCACAGTAATAATAATAATGCAATTTATCAAAACACACAGAAACTCAGGTCTTCACTACAACCTGCCAAAACAAGTTCAAACTTGAAAAAATTGTGACAGAAATATATTACTTTTGCACAATAGAAAGTATTTATAAATACTACTGTTTTGACAGTAACTTTGTATTTGATATTAAAATGTTTTATGTGTACTCCTGACACTAAAATAAGCCACTATATTTTAAATTTGTAGTTTAAATTCTGCAAAACTTTTTTTTATTCCTACAGGAAAAGAAAACTCACATAAACTTTAAATGTCATAAGGGTGAGAAGATGAGAGTCATCTCTTTAAAGTGCTAAAAACATGTCTCGAGCAGTCTGAAGCAGTGCCTAGCATTTCAGTTTTGAGAAGACATGCACTCTTTGATGAAACGTGAGAATTTGCCTGTGGTAGCAACGTAGGCTGCACAGCACCTTTTCATCAGAAATTATTCTTTGAATGGTTTCCTTATGTCCTGAGTAGGTAACTGACCGATCAGTGCCACTAATATCTCCCTGAGAACAGCTGCTTGCCTGAATCATTAAACAACATTTTATCCTCTCTTGAATATTTAAATGGCAAAACTGAAAATTGAAATCTAGCATCCCCAATACAGCTCTCAAACATCTAAGTTTACACAAATGCTTTTTCTCTGTCATCTAACAGTAAGCACTGACCGATAAAAAAGATACGGCTATTTCCTTTGCCATATTCTTCCAAAAGAAACTATTAAATATGATACATATTTAAGAGAACACTATTCCAAAATTGTTAAAATGGTTTATTAATGGAGTTTTGAATTACTTGAAACCAAAGGACTCCCTGATATTATTAATATAAGCCAATATTTCATATCTAAGCCAAACAGTCTAGTGCTGATAGCAATATTCTCTCATGTACCTGCACAAGAGATTTGAAACTGATCAAAATGTTAATTACTGCTCATGCTGCCGCTTTAACTTCCTCACTGAAAAAAGGATATTTATACAGAGTACCGGATTCTCCGCCATTCCAGCTTTGACTTTCATACTCCTATGAGGAATCTTCTCTTGACAGACTGAAGTCAACACCAAACCACTATCCTACCAATGTAATTAATGCATTCCGACAGATCTTTTGTCTGATCTACAAAAAACATCCTGGCTAAGAACAGAAAATAGAGATCTTCTTTGATGTACACAAAACAGAAAGTTTTCAAAACAAAACTACACATAAGGGGGTCTTTGCCTTTTTGTCAAATGCATCTATTGATATTTTCATCATATTTTGATGTCACTTGACAAAAAATAAAACAATGCACACACACACACACACACACACACACACAAACACACAAAGGTGTTGTTGTCATGTTATTATTAAACATGCAACCTTACCAGAATTAGAGAAAAATAAGGACAGCACCATCTCATGGATATTAAGTGAGAATGATAAAAATGTGTGTGTGTGTGTGTGTGTGTGTATGGGTAATCCTGGTAAACCATACGTTATGGGGAAAAATGTCCCCACAAAGATGGCAATACCCGAAATCCTTGCCCTTGTGGGCCATGTTTGGTCTCCATGAGGAAACAAGCTTGTAAATCATACAGAATGACGTTTTTTGAAAATCTAAGAAAGTTTCCTGTAAGGGGTAGGTTTAGGTGTAGGGTTGGTGTAGGGCAATAGAAAATACAGTTTACAGCATAAAAACCTTTACGCCTATGGAATGTCCCCATAAATCATGGAAACCCAACATGTGTGTGTAAATAACACACACTTTCACACATGACTTTGAAAGCTCTGCTAATGAGGAGCATTGAGAGAATATTCCAGCAAAACAGATCATTGAGGTTCTGTATTTGTCTGTATGTACTATATGCATGCATGTACCCGCATATACTGTATGTAATTATGCACATAATGTGTGTGTGTGTCTGTCTGTAAGCCTTATTCATTAAATGCATCCCTTAGTGCATTTCAGCACAAAGTCATCTCTCTGTGACATGTGCATATTTACAATAACTTCACACCCACTCCACTGGCATTTTCTGGCATGATAACAGATTTAAACAGAACATTTAAATCATAATGCAAAATTACAGATTTTAATACTCCTACGCACAAGCCCTCAGTGTAACTGTGTACACGTGTTTGCCTCTTAAACGCATTGAACAACAGATCAATGCAGAGTTTATTGTTATCAGAACTTTTGGGGCAAGGCTTCAGAAAGCATTGTGGTTTTGATCACTGACAGGCATGTGGATAACAGAGGCACATAATTTTGTTCAGTTGGTGTAATTGCACAATAAGCACTAAATCTGATAAATACTGGTTCTGTATTGGATCAGCTGGACATCTGTTCTGTGTCGACTCCAGAATTATTTTAATGAGATATAGCATAACTTGGCAATTTTACACACCAGGATCTCCACTCGTGAATATGTGGTTTTGAATGTCACTGTCATTGTGATTTGTCAGTTAGATTTAAAAGTCTCTTCATGCTGGGTTGAAGATAAGTAAAACCTAGCAATTGCTTCTTCAGAATATTAAATTATTCTGTGCCTAATAATACATTTATAGTGTTTCTATGTATATTTTAAATATGTTATACACACAAACTCAATACTTAAAAAAGTACATTCATATATATATATAAAATTTTAGTTTTAATTTCCCATTCGCTTTATGTCATGTCATAAATAGTAGACACTCAAATACTATATAAACATATTAGCTGAGCTCCCACACATTTGTTTAGATAATTATGGGCCATTATTCGAAACACAAACCATAAGATATGTCCACCCTGTCATGGACATACTGTATATATTCCTGTTAAATACGGTTTCATTGCAAAATTGAGATGCAAATTATATTTTCTGAAAGGTATAATGACCCTTTCCTAAACAGGGTTATAAAAAAAATATATAATAATAATAATAATAATAATAATAATATAATTACATACTCAATCACATTTATATACCCCCCCCCCAATTCATTTTAGTTTTTAAC